CCTTTTAACAGGATGAAACCTCCAGCAGAACCAGGCTTAGGGAGGGGCAGCCATCTGCCACGACCGTTTGGGGTGAGAGAAGGAAGACAGGAAAAAAGACTGTGGAAGAGAGCCATATGAGGCTTATGTGTTGAAATGGTCACAGTGCTAGACAGACCTTTTCCCGTTCTGATAGTAAGTAGATAATCTTTAAGGTTTAAGATCAAAGATTGAAGTTTGATCTAAATGTTAGCAGAGAGATGCAGTCTGAGTAGTGAAAATACTAATTCTAATGTTAGCAGTTTGTGTGTGTAAACGCGAATCCATCATCGACCTGTTTATTCATGTCTGAGTTTAAGAGGATAAGAACTATGTCACCAACCCATCATTATACTTTTGAACAAGAAAAATAGAGTTAAATGTTATAAAGGTTAAACACAGAATTATTATTCATATGTGATTTTGCTGATAGTTAACTATGCGCAATACTGGTCAGAACATAATCTGTAAATTTAAAGATGTTTGACGCTAAAATGATGAATAAGGTAAGAAAAGTAAGAAAGTAAGAAAAGAGAGTAATGATTTTAGAGACAGGCCTAACTCAGGCCTAGCTGTAGAAACAGCCTTGAGAGATATGAGTGTGAGTGTGTGAATGAGAGCATGCTAAGAACACTGAATGTCTGACTTTTAAAGTGTATGATTTAGTGAAAAGGGGGATTGTATTGAATATATTATATTTAATGAATATGAATGACAAACACAAGTTTTAAAGAGACAAGTATCTGTATTAAAAGGAATTATGTGAAGTGAATGTGCTAATGAAATCTGAACTGAATGAAGGCATGAAATGAAATGGCCTTCACCTTAGTTAAAGTGGGTGAAAGGTCATAAATGGAAAGAATATTGAGGTCTGGCTGAAGATCAGTGAAACTTGTGTAAACATCTGATTGGTTGGCTAGATATTAGAGAGAGATAGGTGGGGCGACTGGGCACTTGATAAAGCATAAATTGCCTGGAGGTCTACTGGGTCAGTCTGCAGCAGTTCAACCCTTTGAACTGCTCATCTCGCAGTTCAAAGGGATTCCAGAAGTTCACCGCTGAAAATTCTAGCAGAGTCCCCAGGGGGAGATTGGCCAGTGGACTGAAATTGCAGACTTGGATTTGGCTCTATTTCTGCTCCTCATCATCATCATTCACATGTTGAATTATAATTCTGAGAAGGTTTGGACTTCCATCATTTACCAGGTGGATCGCAGAGTCTCAAGACCAAGGTTTGCCCTGTCAATTATAACTTTGAGGAATCCTGCTTTCCTAAATATTTCCATTAACACAGAGCACTGAGGTGGAACACATCCTGCCAAGCTGCTGTAATAAAATCTGCAATTCAAGTCTAAAATGTGGATATTCTGTTTTTAACCCCTTGAGGGACAGCTTCCTAAATCGAGACCCCCCACATCTAGTTCATCTAAGGGAACACCTTGGTATTCCCAGGCCTAGTAGACAGAGGGAATCTCTACTGCAACTAATGATTATTTTGATTTTCAACTAATCTGCCTGATTTTTCTTTAATTAGTCAATGATTATTTCAATAACACTTGTCTTTGCTTCCTGTGGGCAAACCTCCTGTTCTAGGCTAAAGTACCTCACCTGCTCAAGTCTTCCCACTTGTGAATCACCCTGTTGTCTCATCCCACAGCAAATTAAAATTATGACCCAGGAAACATGAATTTGAAAATAATCAAATGTAATTTTAACATTACCATCAGGCTAAAAAAATGAAATTAATCAAAATATTAGGTAATATAAATTAAAATGCTAGTAGTATTTAAACAAAAAAATAATAATGTGTGTGAATGGGTGGATGACTGGATATGTAAAGCCCTTTGGGGTCCTTAGGGACTAGTAAAGTGCTATGTAAATACAGGCCATTTACCATTTAAAAATGGCTAAAATAAATAAAAATAAAGTGCTTAATGCCAATTAAACTGACGTCACAGCTCAAGGGTGTCGGTGCTTTTTAGTGCTCGTGCACTGGAGTAATGCTGTCGTGGAAGTAAAGCTCCGCTTTGCAAAGTCTGCTTTTAATTTTGTGCGTTTTCTGTGAAATGCTTTCACATATTTTAAATTCCCCGCCTCCATTTTTTTCCGTCCTTCTGTTTTGCTGTTTAACTACGTTCTTCCTCGAGTGCAGTTTTGGCAGACGTTATTAGGCGGTACTGCCCCCATAGCTTCCTGTAGCGTATTGCAGTTAGAAAAGCGCATTTATTACGTGGTTTTACAATATGATGAATCGACGAGTTTTTATAGTTGATGTCATTGATTATGGAGACGAATCGTTGCAGCCCTGCTCTCTTCCCCTGGACCTGAGCATCCCCAGAACACCTGGCACAGGAGTTGCACACAGGGCTTTCTAGTCAGATGCTTGAACTACTCAGTTGGCTCCCTAGGTGTGGAGGAGTAGGAGCTATACACTGAGTACCTCCCAAACTACCAAACCCCCCACCCAGTCTCTAAGGAAGAAGCCAACCACCTCTGCTTCCTCAGCGGGATCCTCCTAGTAATCCTTCCACCGCTCGATGTTGGCAGCACACCATCCCCACTATGCACCACCAAAGTACCACTTTCCCCTCTGGCAGTTTCCAGAATCACTTTGACGCTGATGAAAATACTTTTTTTTCCATTTCCTTGCCAACTCAACTACAACATCAGGTGTTTAAAATAGTAATTCTGGGTAGTCTACAGGTCAATAGTACATCTGCTGCAAAATATTAAGTACTCAGTACAGTTTTTTCTTTAACCTATTCTCAATTTTAAAGCTCACACACTAAATCCTTCGATAGTATAGGATACACTTTACTACTACACTTCTTTTTAAACGTTTTTTTTAAGACAATCTGTTTGAATTCTTATTCAAAGTAAGGCCAACACATTAAAATTGACAACAGAAGATATCACTTCTGCATGAACTTTTCCTGCTGTTTTGTGTGTTAGTAAGACGAGACTCAGCTTTTCCTGTGAAAAAACATGCCCTTTTAGATGCATATTGAAGTACTAGTACTTTTTTGTGCACTTACATTTAAAACTGTTTCCTTAACAATGATTTCAGTTCTTTCCAACAATTATTAACTGGTGCCAAAGGGCTCTGAGAGGAAATTATAGAGGAGATGTTTTTGTGTTTGTTTTTGCGCTGACAGTCTGTGACAAGGAAACAAAGTTGTGAAAAGAGGTGGGCTTTGTGGGTTCCATCATTGCTGTAAACAGAAGTAACACACTGATGGCTTTGATGGTGTTGCATTAAGCTTAAGACTATACAATGTTTTTCTTGATGGTACTGGCGCTGCTGTTCTGCACTGAGGCACAAGGTATGAAAAGAAATCTGCCTGATCATTTACACAAAAAGCAATGAGACATGTTTTGTTGCTGGTGTGTTATTTCCTGTTACGTTTTGTTTTATTGTGATCAGCAAACTGAACACCAGGAACAACAGTGGCAAACAGGAAAAGAGCAAACCTTTTATTTTATAGTAGTTGTTATTTTTTGATTAGTAATGAATATGCGTCATCTGTAATCATGTACCATTCTATTAGAGCAGTATGGAAGAAGAGGTTAGTAGCACGAGTGGCTTTGTTTAATATTAAAGTCTTAAAGTACATCGTGATTGCATTCGATGTGCTTCTTTCAGAGTCTGAAGACGGTTTGTCAAAGTAGTTAATGGAAGTAAAGGTTCTTACCTGTTACTTCCAACAATAATGCCAAAGTAGTGTGCTATGAAGCAAGATTAATAGGTCAGTGAGGTGACCCAGAATTTTCAGTTTGAAAAGGTGGTTGTATTTGTTCCTGGATATGTTCACTATGGTCACCTGCTCTCGAGCTCCTTATGTTCTAAGTTTTAGTTTGAAATCCTGGTGAAATGCCGTGTTTTCACTCATTCTAAAAATGTAATTTTCCGTATTCTCCTGGTGTGATGCAATATAGATTATAGATTCTCTACTGGAGTACGTTTTATTCATGAAACCTCAAGAAACGTATCCTGGTAACGCCACAAAAACAAGCCCTACTATAGTTGCCATAGCACAAACAAAAATAATTTATATTAATTTGGTCATAATGAAAATATACTGTATGACTCTGTTATTTTACACTGTTGGAGCTGGAACCAATATAGCACAGATTATACAAAAGTGATTTAAACACCTCTCATTAGGCTATTGGACAGCTCAATGGATCAAAGTTTCAGAACTCATCGAAGATAAATGGTGTGGTAGAATACAGGGAGTGCAGAATTATTAGGCAAGTTGTATTTTTGAGGAATAATTTTATTATTGAACAACAACCATGTTCTCAATGAACCCAAAAAACTCATTAATATCAAAGCTGAATGTTTTTGGAAGTAGTTTTTAGTTTGTTTTTAGTTTTAGCTATTTTAGGGGGATATCTGTGTGTGCAGGTGACTATTACTGTGCATAATTATTAGGCAACTTAACAAAAAACAAATATATACCCATTTCAATTATTTATTTTTACCAGTGAAACCAATATAACATCTCCACATTCACAAATATACATTTCTGACATTCAAAAACAAAACAAAAACAAATCAGCGACCAATATAGCACCTTTCTTTGCAAGGACACTCAAAAGCCTGCCATCCATGGATTCTGTCAGTGTTTTGATCTGTTCACCATCAACATTGCGTGCAGCAGCAACCACAGCCTCCCAGACACTGTTCAGAGAGGTGTACTGTTTTCCCTCCTTGTAAATCTCACATTTGATGATGGACCACAGGTTCTCAATGGGGTTCAGATCAGGTGAACAAGGGGCCATGTCATTAGTTTTTCTTCTTTTATACCCTTTCTTGCCAGCCACGCTGTGGAGTACTTGGACGCGTGTGATGGAGCATTGTCCTGCATGAAAATCATGTTTTTCTTGAAGGATGCAGACTTCTTCCTGTACCACTGCTTGAAGAAGGTGTCTTCCAGAAACTGGCAGTAGGACTGGGAGTTGAGCTTGACTCCATCCTCAACCCGAAAGGCCCCACAAGCTCATCTTTGATGATACCAGCCCAAACCAGTACTCCACCTCCACCTTGCTGGCGTCTGAGTCGGACTGGAGCTCTCTGCCCTTTACCAATCCAGCCACGGGCCCATCCATCTGGCCCATCAAGACTCACTCTCATTTCATCAGTCCATAAAACCTTAGAAAAACCAGTCTTGAGATATTTCTTGGCCCAGTCTTGACGTTTCAGCTTGTGTGTCTTGTTCAGTGGTGGTCGTCTTTCAGCCTTTCTTACCTTGGCCATGTCTCTGAGTATTGCACACCTTGTGCTTTTGGGCACTCCAGTGATGTTGCAGCTCTGAAATATGGCCAAACTGGTGGCAAGTGGCATCTTGGCAGCTGCACGCTTGACTTTTCTCAGTTCATGGGCAGTTATTTTGCGCCTTGGTTTTTCCACACGCTTCTTGCGACCCTGTTGACTATTTTGAATGAAACGCTTGATTGTTCGATGATCACGCTTCAGAAGCTTTGCAATTTTGAGACTGCTGCATCCCTCTGCAAGATATCTCACTATTTTTGACTTTTCTGAGCCTGTCAAGTCCTTCTTTTGACCCATTTTGCCAAAGGAAAGGACGTTGCCTAATAATTATGCACACCTGATATAGGGTGTTGATGTCATTAGACCACACCCCTTCTCATTACAGAGATGCACATCACCTAATATGCTTAATTGGTAGTAGGCTTTCGAGCCTATACAGCTTGGAGTAAGACAACATGCATGAAGAGGATGATGTGGACAAAATACTCATTTGCCTAATAATTCTGCACTCATGTATATAATATTACTAATAATAACTAATGAATTCTCAAGACTCTCAAATCACAAAGCAGCACTTTTAACAGACAGAATGTAGAAAAGATCTTCATATTCTGACACATCTCATTAAAAAGTCATTTTTGTTCATGGTTTCATGAACAAAAATGATTTTTGTGTATTCTCAATTCATTGTGCATGTATTATTTCAAGCCTTTGTTTTCATTTTCATTATTGTATCTGATAAAAGTAAGGAATCACAGGTGAACATGACATGATTCTGACAACACATTTTTGTTTATCTGTTCTTTTAGGCCTCCGAAACGTGTTTCTACTTCATGGAAGTGATTTACACCTAGATGTAAAGAAATCTGTTGTACTTGACAAAAAGACTGACTTTTTCTGGAAGTATAATATTACTAATTATGTTGGTAAAATTAGTTATTATAAAGAAGCAATATTGTTTGACAGTTATGAAGGAAGAGCTGAGGTCTTTGGACAAAATTTCTCTTTGGTATTAAAGAATGTAAAACACAGCGACTGTGGAGATTATGCTGCAGTTGTGGTTGGAGGACAAGAGCAAAGTATAGCTGAATACAAGGTCATAGTCCAAGGTACGTTTCTCTTGCCAGTACAATTTTTAAATGCAGATACATCAGAAACATCCATTCACAGTTTTTTTTATTTATTTCCCAGATCCAGTATCTCGTGCTGAGCTGACAGTGGACCATCTTTCCAGCAGTTCAGACTCCTGTAACCTCACTGTGACCTGCAGCACATTGGAGTTTAACATCAGCAGCATTTTTAGATGTGATGCCCAAAACTGCCTGCAAGTGGAAGAAAAGAGCTTAAACGTCTCAAAATATTTTTCTTCTCTGACTGTTTACTTGCAGCAAGATACCATCTTTTGTAATCATAGCAACAAAGTGAGCTGGAAAGCGAACAAGAAGGTGATCAAGCCGTACTGTGAAACAAAATCAGGTAAGACCATCAGTAAATTGTCCCCACCCGCAGATATGTCACCAAATGTGTTGGACTAACAACTTACTTTTGATGAACAAAAAGATATCTCTTCTGGTGAGATTATTATTGAAGTCAAAACAAAAATTTAACATCTTACAATAATTGTTGTTGGTGTGAGTAACTTATCTGTTGTCAAATCTGCTATTGCACAAGCTTATTCACTGAAACTTTGCGATACCTTTCCTGTATTTGGAAATAAAAAGTTTGGTCAGTAACAAAGTTCACAAACTGCTATTCACATTTTTTAGAGAAATTAGTGGTTTAGAACTTGGGCTCTGTTGTTGTTCAACGTTTGGATTAGCTGTTTGGATATGCTGTTTTCATTTTGTGAGAAATCTGTCTGTTTTCCTGTGTTGCAGGTTCAGATGGGATCTCTGTCTGTGTGGTGAAGACAGTCGTGTTCTCTGTTGGTCTGATTATCATGGTGATTGCTGTCATCAGTGTGCATCTCATGGAGAAGAAAAAGAAGCAAAAATAAACCTTTCTAATGTATATAAAGCTCAGTCTTATGTAGAAAACTTCTGTGCTTGTTTGTTTTTTCACTTGTTTTGGTTAAAAAATAAATCCCTGTTTCTTTATCTTATACAATGAAAACACAAAGTTGTGCATAAGAAATGTAACAATGCACTCAAGCCAACATCATACGGTACATTTAAAGACAAGAAAACATTCATGATTATTTATTAGTTAAACCCATCATGAAACTGTTTGAGGATTTGCTCCTGAGGCAAATGTGTTTCTCAAACCTCACCAGAAGAGGGCAGTGTGTTACTTTTGAGCTGGTCTGCCCACCTGTCCAACACGATTACCAAGTGATTGAATTCCTCTGTGCAATTTCACAATGCAAGAAATGAAGGCCGTCACCTCCCCGTGGAAAGACCAAAACATTAACATATTACCAGCTGACGAAGGGAGGTGCACTGTTGTATTCAGCTCAGCTGATTATCTTCCCACGATTACTACACTCCTCAGTGACAATACCTATGAGAGCCCACAAGCATTAACTTGCATAGGATAAAGCCATTGACTGCTCTAAGTATAACCATCTGTACCCAGGGGATGCTATAGCCTGTGTATATGGACTTATAAAGATCCACAAAGAAGGTGTACCACTCAGACTCATAATTAGCAGAATAAACTCAGCCACCAACAACATTTCCTAGCACCGCGCCACTATCGGAGCTACTGTAGGATGTTTTCCCTCCAATCAGATTTGCTGTTAGAACTCTGCCTTTGCACCACTCATTTTAAATACAACAAGGGTTTTTACTGACAAAAGTGCCACTCATTGTAAGTAGCCTTGACACGGAGGAAGTGAAAGTAGATCTTTGGGCTCTTTCACAGTGACAGCACCTAGCCACCGGTACAGATGTGGAGGAAACCTGGGTTAAAACCAAAACCCAAGAAGTAGAAGCCTTCGCTGTTCACATCAACTCAGTGGATAGAAACATGAAATTCACCAGGGAAAATAGAAGGGACAACTGTTTGCCTTTTGATCAGTATGTTAAATGAATAGTAAAAGAGACTGTTCTAATGTCTGAATTTTGTGTGTCTGTGTGTACATGATCAGGGAAAGGACTGAGGCAGCAAACTGAACCACAACTTCTTTGGGGTATACTGTAGTTCTTAACAGCCACAAACTAAACCTTGCGTGAAATGTGATAAATGTGATATATGCATTTAATATTTACTTTCTGAACTATAGTAATAATCTTTTATTCATCTCCTTCAGTTGTAAGGAGTTAGCATGTAGATGTAACAAGCAATGTTATAATATACTGCATGTACTGTTTCATACAGCATGCAGGGTGTGTTGCATTTACGTTTTACAGTCTGTCTTTAAAGGAAGTTCAGTCAAGCAGAGACTTCCTGTCTGCATAAAGTTGGGTTTAAATACACCTACACATCTCTCTGTTTGACGTTTCACTTTGTGCTTGCTGTTGTACCTGTGTGTAGAGTGCAGTACAAATACTTGTCACTCACCTAACAGTCATTACTGCACATGAATCTGCTTAATGTTACTACCATGATTTTACAACAATATATCTCTGATAATTTATTGGGTCAAGGTTGCCCTCTCTCACAACGAGTCGATAAATACCAGCCGCAGTGCTAACTTTGTCAATTAATCAGAGAGTGCCAGAGGAGGGTTGCTGAGTAGAGTGCTTTTTGTTCTTGAGGAGGCGGAGGAAACAGACATAAAGAGAGTGAAAGAAACTTAGTAGAAGGAATCAGCAACAGACTCTGTGTTTGCAGAAATCAACGGTTCCATTTTTAGATCTGATTCTTGAAAATCAAAAAGCCAATCAGGTAAAAAGACTTGAAATGTTTATGAAAATATGAAGTTCTAACTTCACAACAGACAATGACAGAAATCCTTTAAATAAGATGAGTTTTTCTTGTCGTTTTTTGGTACAAGTATATTCCTGTACAAGAGAAATAAAGAGAAACTCAGACTTCATGAAACAACTGACATCAGTATTGTAATATATCTCAGTTTGGCTGGTAAAAGGCCAAACATGTGATTCCAATATATTTGACAATAAAAATATTATCTTTAAATGATGAACATGGTATTTTTCACCACTAATCAGTTTCAAAATATTTATTTTCAAAATATTCTTCCGGATAAATTAATTGAAACATTTCTCATAATTTGTTCTTGTAAAACCTCTTCAAAAGCAAAACATGTTTTTTGTTAATGTCTACTTTACATTTGACTTTTACGAAAACAATTTAGTTCCCTGGTAAAACAGCTAAATTAAAAAAACAAAACATGAAGGCAATGAAAACCTTTTTTCTGTCTTATGTACTTTTAGCTTTGGGTGTATGTGTGTACTTCACTATGACCTTTGAGGACAAAGGCATTCAGTCTGAGTCGTAAAAAAGGAAGAGATCTGATCTTTTGGACATGTCATCTTTATCAAGAAATGTACCGACTGGCAGTAGCATGTACTCATGAGGGTAAATATGGGGAAACTCCATTAGACATGTGACATTTGGTCAGAACAACCAGACAGATTCTTATTATAAACACTTATTTAGAATTTAATTTTGAAAATTCCAGTAGAAAAATGTTTAAGATTTTTCTGTATACCTCCAGACTTTATTCTTGTTTTGCTGACTTCCCATGCCTTGCTTTCTGTAATAAATATAAATTACAAAGAAAGTTTCTCTGTTGCAGCTGTTCCACAACAAACTTAAGGTGGCTGTTAACTAACAAAGTCTTCCTAGTGAGGAATTGATTTAATACATTTCTCCATAAAGTTTAGATAGGGGATTTTGAACACATCTTACAGTGTTGGCCACATCCAGCGCACTTTGATAAGTGTGCCAAACCAATTCATTTTAGTTCATATAACGCCAAGGCAAAACAACTGAAATATATTCGACAGTCCAAAATTTATGCCCGCCTTCACATTTTTAAAAGCTCCCAGTGGGCTGGAGTGGAGTCTTATATTTCACACCCCTGGTCTAGATCTATAAAAAGAAAACTTGAACTGTATTAACTTTAAGTATTATTTATGGTCTGCAACACATATAAAAAAATAACAATAATTATTGATAAAGATTATATGCACTACATTATTCAGGAAAACTTCAAAAAACAAGAAAAAGAAAAAGAGATTCAAGTATATAGCTCTAAAAACAAAATATTGTACTTCACAGTAAGCCATCACCATCTAAAACACAAAGATATTACTACAAAAAAGGATAATGTTTGAAAACATTAAGAAAATATTCAGTTCATTTGTGTTTTAAACAGGTGATAAATGTGATCCAACATGTCCTCTGTGCCAACATTTTAGAAGAAAAAAAAAGCAGAGTTCAAGTGTTCATAGTTCATATGTGTTTAGCCTTGTGAATTTATACTGCTGATGTTCTCCAGCTCTGTTTGTTGGGCAGTGACTCTGGGCCTGGTGGCTCTGGTAACCTGAGCATACACCGTCTCTGGCTGTGGAATCTTTTTGGACTTCGTGGATTCTGTTTTAGGGTGAAACTCCACGAGGGCATAAGTAGATGTTGGGGAAAGACTCGAGGCATCTCCTGGAACATTCTCATTTCGAGTTTGGCCTGGAGGATGCTCCTAGAAACAAATCCAAAGTGTTTTGTTAAAAAACAAACAAACTGGGTGGAGCAGTGAAGAAAGAAGATGGAGGTTGATTTTGGGCAGGCGCATAAAACTAGTGTGTTAGCTCATTAAACTATTCTGAATTTGAAGTGAATTTAAAATAAAGCTGAATCAGATATTTTCTTTCTTTTTTCTCTTAAGAAAAAGTGTTCACTTACTTGAGCAGCCTCATACAGTTGATTTTCCTGGTTCCTTCGTTTACCTGCAAGCCAGTCACAGTAAATACAGATTTACTTACAGCACATATCTTCCACCGGAACGTCTAAATTCCTCGCTGGAAATAACATTGACTCCAGATCAGTTCATGTTAGCTACAGAGAACTAATACACCCCTGTCCTGTTATCACACAGTGAACTGATCAGTCTGTAAATAAATTAAATAAAATCATCGATCTTTATTGGTCAAAATGAATTTCCATTTTTTTTAAAATAACTTTCACCCTTAGAAAATATATTTACTGTTAATGCTTGGTGCTATTCTAGATGCAACAGTCTTAATGTCATGTATCTCTCCTATAATATTGGTGAAGAGATGAGGTTTAGTGGGTTTTCATGTATTATAATATTACTCATTACTGTAGTCACGAACAACAAACTGGTTAAGGGCCTGTAGTAACTGTGGTCCCTTCTTTTTCCACAGTTATGTCTCGGACATGTTAATAGAAGGCAACAATTAACAACTAACAATTAATTCTTTAAAAATATTTAAACTATTTAATGCTATTTAACCAGGTGGGATTAGCAGTATTTTTTTTTTCTTGAGAGAACTGCAGACGCTGCATCGATAAACACAGATGCAAGACAGCAAAAAAAAGGAGCTGTCTGCAGGGGTGTTTTGTTGTTTGTTTTTTAAAAGAGTAGTTTTAATTAATTACTGGTCAAAACTTGTTTCATGCAGTACTTGTATCCAATCCAATGTTCTGATGATGTGGGTGGAGCTCAGACAGCTCCACAACACACAACAACTGGAAACCAGGTGAGATACAGATAATGTGATGTTCAAAGCCAACACTTTGAACTTATCCCAGTTGGATTTTAGGGCAAAAGGCACAAAATATTTTCTGTCACATATTTGTCCAAGCAGAGTTTGCTTGAATGCTGCACTTCACAGAGTAATGTGAATGTTTAAATAAACAGCAGCAACAAAAGTGGCAAAGTGGCTTCACATCTAGGAAAAAATACACTAAAAATCAGAGCTTTTAACTGCTCATTCTTTAGCCGGTACCAAATATTTAGGTAACAGGTCGCATTATTAGATTTCAGTTGTGTCTGTTTTTTTGTTATTTTATGTGTATACGTGTGTTTTTGTGGTGGTTTTTCTCTCAGCCAAATTCAAATTTCTTATCCGAGTGGGATTAAATTCAACCCTACAATTCAGTCCAATTACAGTTTTACCCTCCTGTGAACAGTGTTGGGGAGTAACAGAATACATGTACCGGCATATCGTATTTAAAATATAAAATATGAGTAACTGCATTCCATTGCAGCTACCGCTTATTAGAATACAGTTACTTTGTTGAAATAAATGGATTACACAGCGGTCTTTTCCCATTTCATATGTTAGGCTATCCCCTCTCTAATCTTGGTAAATCCACACATTGCAGGAAATCCAAACAAAACATGCAATAAGAGGCTCTAATATAAGCGTCCTGTTAATGTTGGTGGTGTCAGTTACATGGTGGACCTGAAGCCAGGAAAACAGAGCCAGCAGTGCACGGGCAGGAATGCATTTCTTACTTGGAAATTTCACTTCACATTTAAAGAAGAATGGGACTGACTCTGTTTGCTATCAGCCAAGCTACTCTCAGCATCAAAAGACTATTAATGAAGGCTGCATTACAACCTGCTAGCTGCAAATAACCATGTGCAGTTCTGAAAGCAGAAAGAAAGAAAACATATTACTGATACAGAAATAGTTTTCTATACAAGATCACTGCAAAAAGTGCAGCCTTACCTAATGTCCACCCTAGTGTTACTCATTTTATATTAAGATTTAAAAATCTAGTTGGCATTGCTTTCAGAACTGCACATGGTTATTTGCTGCTAACAGTCTGCGGTCTATGAACTAACCTCAGCTAACGCCAGCTAAAACTGTTAGCTCGGTGGTGATTAACCTTCAACGATAGTAATAAATCACACAGATATAGTACATTCATGTAGTTGCAAAAAGCATGATAATATATCAAGTAATCCAAAGTATTCCGAATACGTTACTCTCATTGAGTAACTTAACAGAATACGTTACAAAATACATTTTTGGCCATGTATTCTGTAATCTATAGTGGAATACATTTTAAAAGTAATCTCCCCAGCACTGCCTGTGAATGTGCATTACTTACCTAACATTTTAAAGCAGTTGTATGTTTTAGTTCAAATGTAGCAGCAACTCAGTGCTTTATTTCTAATTTTATCTCCTCCAGCCTATATTGCCTTACTGAGGGACACCATTTTTTTAGACTCATTTTCGCTGTGAGGATCCACGAAGCTTTGAAGACAATTCATTCACGAAAGTAATCTAGACAGGATAATTAGGATACATAGATTTTAAACCTTACAGCTGATTTGATCGCTAATCTTTGCTCATTTGTTCATAAGTGTGAAATTGGGGGAAATTTGAGAACCAATGCGTCACCTAATTGAACACTTTTTGAAGAGGTGAGGTTAACTTAAACAGACATTCTGAATGAAAATTACATTCACATTTAAAACGCCTTACAAAGCAGGTCCATACTATTGTACCAAATTTGGGCTCGACTTTCTTTGTTTTCATGGAGTATTTTTATGTATATTAAAATGGTAAATGGCCTGTACTTGTATAGCGCCCTAAGGACCCTAAAGCACTTTGCACAGCCAGTCATCCACCCACTGGTGATGGGAGGCTACATTGTAGCCACAGCCACCCTGGGGCACACTGGCAGAGGCAAGGCTGCCGAACACTGGCGCTGGTGAAGTGTCTTGCCCAAGGACACAACGACCGAGACTATTCAAGCCGGGGCTCGAACCAGCAACCTTCCGATTACAAGGTGAACTCCCAACTCTTGAGCCACGATCGCCCCATTAAGTGCATGCTTACATATTATATTAGATGTCAGTGTACTTAAAGTAGCAACAATTCTTATTTGACTGGTTTTGCTGGAAAAAAAAATTGCGACTCACGTTTTGCAACAATGCAAATGATGACGATGATGAAAATGAAACCACAGAGGCCACTAGCAGCTGCGATTATTATGTTTACGCTTGAAACTGTAAAGAAAACAAAATATTACATCACAAACAATCTGACGAGAATCTGTCATTTTAAATTTGCAGTTATTTCAGTAATGGCAGAATCATCACACCAGAAGCACAAACACTTTGTGTTAAATCTCAAGGTTTTTGACTACCAATCAAAAATCACCAACCAAAGGTGATTAGATTTAGAAATTTTCATACACTTCTATGACTGTTAATGGAAAGCTGCAAATCCTTTTTAGATCTTCACCTTGGTTAACGGCATGTCTGTGGTGAGAATGACTGGACAGAAACCAGGAATTTACGAACTAGAATGGAACACAGGACACACGGTGAGTGAGAGAGACTGAAACAAGGAACAGAGGGACGCTCAGCTGACATAATCACAGATGAATGAGACAAGGGGAGCAAAACTGAACATTTACCACACAGGAAACGGGACACAGGCTATAAAACAGCAAATGACCAACACTGAGACATGGATTAAGATATACAATACAAAGAAAGGTAAACAAACACAGATTTGACTGAACTAGACAAAAAAATACATGGGAAGGAAGACAAATCAGGGAAAAAGAAACCAGACTGGTGTTTTCTAGTGTTTTGAGAGTTTAATACCTTCTATTTCAACAGAAAAACATGAATAGATCAATATAAAGCGATGAAGTCTTTAAAGATCAAAAATTAGTTTTACTTCTTTGTTCTGCTGCATAAACTTTTTAAATTGGTATGATTTAAATCAGTCATTCATGTCTTTACGGCCTTTAAACTTACCTGTCCTTGTCTCACAGTAAGGTTTAGTCTTACTGTCTGTCCAGCTGACGTTATTGCTGTGATTACAGATGATGAAGTCTCCATGCAGGTAAACAATTAAAGACGAATAATAATCTGGGGTTTTCAAACTGTTTTCTTCCACCTGAGAGCAGTTTTGGGCAACACATGTGAAAATGCTGCTGATTTGAGAATCCACTGTGCTGCAGGTCACAGTGAGGTTACAGGAGTCTGAACTGCCAGACACAGAGTCCACTGTCAGGTCAACTGGAGAAACTGCATCTGAAGAGTAACAGGCATAAAGAGATTTAAAACAGGTCTAAGTTGTATCACCATTTCTAAAAGATAATGAAAACAGAAACCTACCTTGGACTATGACCTTGTATTCAGCTACCTTTTGGTCTTCATCGCTAACCATGAATGCAGTATAATCTCCACTGTCACTGTGTTGCACATTCTTTAATAACAAAGAGTAATTTTGCCTGAAGAGCTCAGCCCTTCCTTCATATTTGTCAAACACAACTGGATCATTATTAAAACCACATTTAGCTATATTGTTAGTTTTATTAACTTTCCATAACAAATCAGTTTTTTTGTCTAGTACAACAGATGTCCCTACATCCAGGTGTAAGTCCTTTCCACGGAGGAGAAACACATGTTGGAGCCCTAAAAGAAAAGAAAAACAACAAACCTGATGTCAGAATCATCTTATTAACATGCAACTGGAACTCCTTAAATTAAATACAGTAGATATTTTTTCAGAATTTTTTTCTTAACAATTTTTATTATTGTTTAGTCAACATAGTTACATCATCTGTTTATATTTATATGTTTATAATTAAAATTTTATTCAGCTGTAACAAAACACCCTTACATCAAAGATCTCTCATATTAATATAGATTTGTGTGTAACTGCCAAAATGTTTGATTGTGGTTTTTCCTACTCCCTTCCCCAACCTGACTTGCGATCACATGTAGCACATGCTATGCCAAACATCGTCCTTCAGTCACTGGTTGTCTAGGTTCCAAAACATTTCCAACAATAAAATGTGTATTTTCTCGTGAAAATCCTATTGGAAATTATGGCTTCCACCCAACTTTAGATGGTGCACCTCTAATATCTAGAGTTGTCAACATTTATGAAACTAACCAAAATAACCAGATACTTTTTTGTCTCAGGAAGCTTCTCTGCTTCCCTCCATGAGAGGAAGAGGGAAGCTGCTACCCTCAAACCTGTACAGAATATGTCCCGCCAAACCAAAAATCACCAATGAAGGAATCAACCATTAAAAATGAAATGAAGACTGAGATAAAGTTATAAAACATTTTAAATCCTTACTCTTAGCCTTTCAGACCCTAAGTGTCTGCTTGAACATCAAACAGTATTTCTTGAAACGCTCTTTTATCTTATCTTTTTAAAAAAATATTATTTATCATTTGCATTTACAAAAATGAAATAACGAGCACCGGGGACTTTTTTTCATTAAACTGGAAGTTTATTTGACAGTGCTGTGACTAAATTTAAAGATATGATTCAACTGTTATTTCCTTCAACAGACAAAAGCCCCACAGCTACTGAGCTGCTGATTTTCTTACATTTATCATTTGCTTATTTTGTTTCAGTTCTTGCTGACATCCACATCTTGCTGACAAATGTGTGCATTTTGGGCTTTTTTTTGTAAGATACAACAAATACCTATAATAGATTAAATAAAGATTAATGAAACTGAAATATTAGTAGAATTGCAAAATCTATCTATCATGTTCCTTAAGAAAAACAAAAAAGGCTGTGTTCATTCAGTTCACTCTTCTTTCACACTTTGATTCCAAACTTTGATCGTTTTGCTTTCTCTCCACATGTCAAAGTAACATTGGCCAGGAAGATCAAATTGTTCTCCCTTTTTTGTCATTTTGTCAACATATGTACTCAACAGGGACGTGCAGAGGGGGGGGCTAGAGGGGCTTGAGCACCCGCCCCTTTCCTGATGAGTGCCCAAAGTGCCCTTTTGTTGAGGCAACTTTTAAAAAAAAATTTAAATTTTTTTTTAATTTTATGTGTGTGTGCGTGCGGAGTCCTGTCTGTGCCCCTCAACAATAATATTTAACTATTAATCATAGTTTTGCTAAATAAAAGGATCTGGCTTGCATCAGTCACATGATCACATTTAACCAATGATCGCCCTCGACGGCAGAACGCGCTGGTTACGAGCCGGGAACGAGCTCACATTGAGCACGCGCATTTTTTGCGGTCCGGAGCTGTAGGAGAAACACAAGTTAACTCAGAGACACAGACTGATGCGACAAAACCAGTAAGTAGGTGTACAGCGTACACTGTAGTGTGTAGCACCCAGGAGTATTAGCTTATTACGTACACGTTGGTAAGCTGTCTTGTTGCAACTGACGAACTGAAACAAACGAGCGTGCTGTGTGTGCAACAGCGCGACAAACATTACCTGTCCTTTTATTAACTGCACAAGTAGTGCTGGTCATAGCTGCTGGCTACCTGTGTAAGGCTGTCATGGGTCTGTAGCTCTGTCACCGTTTTAGGGAACATATTTAGTTTTAAAGTAAGTTTCTGGGCATTTCCTGCCTTTCTGGAGGGATTATATTTCACTAAAAAACGATCTAATATGCATGTCCACATAATAATTATTATAATATATTAAAAAACACACGCTGTATTTTAAAGAACATACATTAAGAAGCAGATTATATTAGATTTATATTTTAAATAAGACAAAAGTTGGATTTTACAGCAGTAAAATTATTGTATCTCTACAGTTTAAAAATGTAATAAGCTTTGCCCTGCACAGAGTGGATAGTGAAACAAATGGAATCATCATAAATACATTATTTCATATTTATTACTTCCCCCTCCTCATTGCTTTATTATTGTAGCTCTAGTAATAAATAATAATGTAAGGATGCCCATAGTATATACAGTATTCTGAAGAAGGTCTAAAATGTCACTGTGTGTGCATGTGTGTGTTTTATTTAGCTGGATTTAAAAAAATATTACTCATGATATAACATTGTGCAGACATGGCTGGTAAGGACATGAGGAGGAAACAGTAGGAGCTGTGTGAGGCTACTAAAGGCAGTGCTATAACATTTTTCTGTCATCATTTTATTATAGATTAAGTGCAAGAGTTGTTAGGTGTGGATAATTAGATTATAGTTTATTGCAATAGCAAGTTGTGCCTTGTTCTCAGATAGACAGCAAGTGGAGAGTGATATATGAAATGATGGGATGGAAGGAAGAAGAGAAGCAAAGAGTGATTCACAGGCAGAGCCTAAATTATTTCTCACAGTTTTTTGTTGCCTTATGGTTCCAAGCGCTGTCACCAATCTTTGCATTTTGTTATTATCTCATGACACTTGTTTAATCAGCTACCATCTCTCCTGTGGACTTTTTAATGTCTACAGTCTCAGATCAACACAGCCCTGCCCTTCCCATATTAGATTCTTGATGAATGTGTGTTGTTGTTATTCAGCTGGTTCAATGTGCCCCTTTTTAACTTTGAGCACCCGCCCCTTTAAACCTCTCTGCACGTCCCTGGTACTCAAACTGATCTAAAGGAATAACAGATAATGATAACTAAACTAGTGATGACTTCAACACTATTCATTCAAGGAAACTGCTGTCAAACTTAAAACTGTTCCTGTAGGTATTCATCATTCTATGTTTACAGTTTTATACAGTTTTATACTGTATTACTGTAATATTGTTCACATTTTCTCATTTAGGATCTAAAATTGCAGACCATCCACTGCTTGCATATGTCTGCCGTGATATATATATATATTATATATATATATATATATAGTGTCCATCAATTGTTTGTGTGTGTTCTTCTAACTCTGTTTTTTTAAGTTGAATGTTCATCTAAAACATACTTCACTCTCAAAGCATAAATGTTTGTACTCAGAAAGAGGAGGTAATAAAAATATTTTTCTCGGTAGAATAATTTTAGCATCCATTTAGTGAGTGACTGCTGACAGAATTAAATTAGAAAGTGAAGACACTGGTGTTTATTTTTAGTTGGAGCTGAAGACATTGGAGTTTATCTCACAGCTATCAGAGTCTCATATGTGCTTCTTCATCTACTTGCAGTCTCACAGCTGTGACCACACACTTAACCACCTCTCAGTTGTAATATCAGCATTATAGATTATTATGCAGCATTTCACATTTAACTTTGATCAGTAATCATGCTATTTCTGTTGATTTTACTTTGTTGTAAGGAGTCATTCAGCATATGTGATCACCCATTTTATGACATACTGCTATATACTGTTGCTTCATACAGAAATAGTATTTTATCTGTCAGTTGTCACAGTAAAACTAACTATAAGAGGAAGTTCAGTCAAGCTTGTACACAGATGACCAAAGAGAAACCCACAGTCTGTCTGCCTGATGTTTGCATTTGTGCTTGTAGCAGTTTGTAAAGCATTGTTGCAGGAGTGCAGTACAAAAACGTGGTACTCATGTAGCCGAGTTAATATTGTAGATGATTCTACTTGCTATGATTACCATAATTTCACAGCAACCAAGCTGCAGAAATGCATTGGTCTAATGTTTCCTTTTTTCAGAGGAAGTAAATAAATACAACTATCAATGTGAAGTTAAGTTCATCAGAGCATATCTGAGAGTACATGACCACTGGAAATTATAGAAACATTAAAGAGAAGACTTGCAAATGGTTTTAAAGCTCTGGGCCACCCCTGCTCCTGTCCTGCCTTTCTCCCCTGACTGCTCTTCCTGGGTCCCCTCTGCTGTCAGTTCTCACAGTTCTGGTGCTCCAGTTTCCTGCTAACTGTCCTCTTTTTGGCTTCCAGTTAAAAAAAGAAAAAGCTTTGTGCCATGATGTCAGATTGTGGTAATCATGACACAGAATTGTATTGTCTTTTAACTTCTGGCTTTGAAATATATATTAAAAATATATGTTTAATGAAATGTATATTTGAATCAAGTAAAAATATATACATTTGGTAGATTACGACACAGAGGTCTCTACACTGGCCCCTTTCTCCCTGCTCTCAAGCCTAGTAATTTCTTCTGAACTCAGCTGGGTACGGAGACTACAGTAGTTCCAAAGAAGTGGAACAAGCGGGCATTAGCCAGTTACAATGGGGAAGTATAAACAGAAAAGAGTGACGTGACCCTGATCTGGCACTCATGGAAATTTCCCTCTTACAGTCTTTTGTTCATCAAAATCGTAATGAAAACATTGCATTTAAAAATAAACCTGTTGAACAGGGGTTCTGCCAAATGATGTCCAAATTATTCTAAAATGATTATATAATATGTGGCTTATTCCAGTTCTAGCTCACAGTTGCATATGGATAACACAAAGTTACGGGTGGAAACACAGACAGAGGGAGAGAAGTGATACTGACAAGAGGAAAGAAGAGGAAACCAACTTAAATAGATAGATGTCAGCAACTGACATCTGTGTGTGTGTGTGTGTGTGTGTGTGTGTGTGTGTGTGTGCGTGGGTGTGCTAGCGTGAGGCTTTTGCTCCCTCAGTGTGTTTACCTGGGTGCGCATTCCTCTGTGTGTGTGTGTGTGTGTGTGTGTGTGTGTGTATGCCTATGTGACAGAGAGACACATATTATCTTTTTACAACATGTGAACATGGCTGCTTCAGTTTTCGGTTTAATATCAGACACTTTTTGTGAATTTGTGTTCTACTGGTTTTGAGTGGAGTACAGTACTTCAGCGTTTATCAAAAAAAACATTAAGGGAATTTTGTTTATTTGCACTACATGGTTTGTTGAGTTACTGAAGAAGAAGTGGACTGATCCCTACCAAGACTAGCCTAGGACATGGAACGTCACCTCTCTGGTGAAAAAGGGGCCGGATAAAACTACATTTTAATTCAACTTCAGCCAAATTGATTTGGGAAAAGAATGTAAAAATAACACAAAGAAATCGAGCAGATAGTCAGCACTTACCAGCCCCATGTTACCATTATTCATAGTTCAGAAACATCGATGTTGAAAATCAGTCTGATTTTTCATTTGTTAATATGTCAAAAGCATACTTATTGCAATGTAATTATTGTAATTTCAATACCGATTTTCTTGCCTGGTATTCATTTTTCACTGTATTTATTTGACTTTCTTCCTCCCTGACAATTATTTATTATATGTCATTTGTTGTTTGCCTTTTACAAACAATTTAGTGCTATAGTACAAAACCAGATTCCAAAAAGCAAAGGAGACAAATCACTTTGACATATTAGTGTACAAAATAATACTAATAAAAATATAATAATAATCAGAGTGTAAAAATAAGTGTTTACCTTGTATTTCAAATGAAAGCAGCAAAAGAACTCCCCAAAATAAAATACGTGCCATCTTCACACCTTCTGTGAAAATGAGGAAGTGCAAACTTCCTCATTTAAGATTTTCAGCAGTGATGCACACAGCCTGTGTGGGTTGTCCCAAGACTAAAACCTCTATGTGACGACAGTGACATAAATACAAAGAATGACTCTCCTCTCTTCTGAGCTTTCTCTTTCATTGTCACTTTTTTGTTTTTTACATTGTATTCCTACTGTATAAATCTTTTACAGTAAAAGATTATAAATAAATGAAATGTTTCTACGTACCAAAATGTTCAACCTAATATTGGAAATGTTGAGTTTGATTCGGATCAGCAGTAGTCTGCTTCACTTACACAGTTTCATATTTGTTAAATTAAGATATAGACTAAGCTGAAATTTGCTCCAGAAAGACTCAATCCCCATAGGTATAATAAGAAATTTTAACAGTATTAGGATCACTTAAAGCAAAAACTTGAAATTGTGTGGATTATGGGGGGGAAAGAAAAAACATGATAAATTTCCAAGACAAAAATGTGCCAGACAGGCTGGTCTGAGCACTTCATAAACTGATGATCTACTAAGATTTTTCTACACACTTTGAGAAGTTTGATTAGACTGGTTAGTTAAATAACCATCCTTTACGACCAAGATATGCAAAAGCACATGTCTGAACACACAACACATCAAAACTTGAAGCAGATGGCTTACAGCTGCAGACCACACTGTTTGCCCTTCCTGTCAGCTAAGAACAGGAAACAGAGGCTATAGTTTGCATGTGTTCACCAAAAAAAGATTAAAAATCATTGTATGAACTGAGACAAAAGGGTCCAACACAGAAATGTCCAAGGTGTATTTAATAAATCGTGTGGTAAACTTGTGGTGACAGGATAATTTCTTTAGTGCATGTAACCATGTACGTTTTAAAAGTTTTTTTTTTCACAGACTGTACATGAAATTCACCTTAGTCCACTGTCATTACCTGATAAATGATACAAGAGTGTACTTACAGTACTTTTACTTTGAAGTTAAAATATACTGTTGTTGATTTGAGTATAAATAATAATACATTTGTTTGAACTGTAACCTTTTCAATAACAGTTGTTAGTGATAACTTAAAAAGTATTATTAGGTTTGCACATGTCATTTTAATGCTACTACATAGGCTGCATTTTCCTTTCCTCCTCCTTTCTTGCTATCTAACGTGTATTCTTGTCCATCAACATCCCAGTGTTTATGACAAATCTATAAATATTTTATAGATATTGAACGTACAGTTTAAAAAAAACAAAGACCTCCCCCCCACCCCCCCAAAGAACAAAACAAGGCAAACAAAACCCAAATAAAATAAAAAAAACAATACATTTTGTTTTGTTTGAACTCATCCATCATCCTTTAGGGCACTCCTGAGAGAATCTGATTACAGTATTTGTCCGGTGTGATTTTCTAGAAAAAAAATCCAAAATATCATGTTAGATAAATATTATTGTCAAAATAATTTTATCATATATTGTACAATTATGCAAGAATTTTGTGGGCTCCTTTAGGTGGAATAGAATGAATACGAATTCTTGTAGTGGAAGTTACATAAAGTACAAATCAGCAGATGCTTCCGGGTAAGTGAGAAACTTAGTGAGTTACTGAGTGGCTGTATCTTATTATTAATATAGTTTACTTTATAAATAAAATCCATTGTGAACTACACATTACTGACTAAGAAGCCTACAGACACAACACTGTTGTGTCTGTAGGCTTCCGTCAATCTTATATTTTAATTCACAGTTCTTTTCTAGCTGAACACCCTTCTTATCTGTGAACTGTCATATGACTTACAAACACTTAGTTTGTCTGTCACTTCTCTAGCTTGTTCCTCTACAAATAGTTTTTTCAGAATTTAGTAGAACAGAGTTCTCCTGTTTTGTGCATTGGTCCTGGAATAACCTTCAAAATGTAACAAAGATTTCTGCAATGGAATAATACAGTTACTTCTCTTAAAGTGGAGATGAAAAACTACATGGATAGAGTCTGTATAAAATGAATAAAGTGTTTAAAGTTTATAGAACATATTTAACGCCATCTTCTGTCAGTACAGAACATTACAGTACAGCATCAGGTTGGTTGGTTGGTTGCGGTCAATAGACTTACATTATTATATGTTACCTTACTAATAACACAACCAATAACTCAGGGCAACATAACAAGACTAAAAATAGAAATCAGTTTAAAGAGGTCATTTCTGTACTGCCCCGTGGTGCAACTATAACTTCTGTGTTAACAAATCAAGGATATATTGCTTCTTGATGCATGCTCAATCATCCAGGTAAGGAAAGTCTGCAATAAGTGGGCAGTCTCGTGAGAAACTGAAGACATTACTTGGATGAATGACAAAACATTTCTCCCACATCCAGATGAACAGAATCACCTTTTTGGGAAGGATATACTGCCCATTTTCACTCTTTGTCTCTTTACCAGTAAATACACTGACACGGGAAAACTTGGTGTAAACTAGCATTTATACATGCAGTCTTTCATGCCCACTTAAAGATGATCTTTGCATTATTTTCCTTGTTATTTTAATTCTTTTTTGATTTTTTTCGCAGAATTTTTCTATTTGCTTGTGTTTTCTGAAGTGGCACTGCATTCGACTTTTCAGGGCCACCACTGTTTCAAGTGACAATTGAATCTGTAAAACCTTATACCAAACAAATTTATACTGCTTTACCAAAACATAATTTCAGCTGCACTATAATCATTCTTATGGCATTGCAGAATCATACAAGGAATGCTTTTGTGCATGAAGTGTATGCTTTAATACAATGCTAGATTTCTGTGTATTTAGTGTAGATTCACTGTTGTTGCTGCTTAAAAACAGACTGGGACTTACATTTTGTGACAATGCAAAGGGCAATGAAGACAGACAAGAGAAAGAGACCAACTGAAGTTGAAATCTGAATTAGGGTGGCTCTACTGTGAACTGTAAAGAAACCAAAACATTGGGTTAGAAACGGTTAGAAACATTGCAATAACTGTACAATTATTTGTTAGGGTAGACTTGCTCTAAAAGCCCAAGCACTCAACTTTTGCAAATGTTGGTTTAAAACCTTTTGAGCTCTGTTAGAGCTTTTCAGTGGCTATTTCAGTGATTGTGAATTTTTTCTAATAACAACTATTAAACAACATATCTACTGCTGTGCCAATTTACTACAACAAATTAGTGTCACAAACATTTGCATACACAAAATGGTATGTTTGCTTCTTCAGAGTGAGGGTAGACCATAATGGTAAATGCATGGTATTCAGGATCAGAACAGGATGTGAAAACTTTTACAAATTCTTGAAAAATCGGTGGGTTATGGCTCGTGTAAAGGAAACACTATTTTAACTACACTAGAATTCTTCACCAAACCAAACATGGGAGGTTTTGAAAATTTAACAGAAACCTTTTGTTTCACCTGGAAACAGACAAAATCCTTAGGATAAATAAAATGCTTTTAGGTTTACAATTCTTTGTTCACTGAGCTGAATAATATATTAAAGTGGATTTATCATTCATATCATCATTGCTCTTATACTTACCTGTATTTGCCTTGCAGTCAAACTTGATCTTATTGTATTCCCAGCTAACTTGGTTGCTGTGATTACACAGGATAAAGTCTTGCTGGAGGTAGACAATGAGAGAGGATGAATAGTTTGTGGGTTTAAATGTCTTTTCTTTGACCTGAGAGCAGTTTTTGTCATCACATCTAAAAGAATGGTGGATGGATGAATCCACTGTGCTGCAGGTCACAGCAAGGACACAGGACTCTGAGCTGCCAGACACAGAGTCCACTGTCAGGTTAACTGGAGACACTGGATCTGAAGAGGCACAGGCATGAAGAGATTTAAAACAGGTCTATGTTGTATCACCATTTCAAAAAGATTAAAAAAGAAACCTACCTTGGACTATGATCTTGTATTCAGCTACCTTTTGGTCTTCATTGCTAACCATGAATGCAGTATAATCTCCACTGTCACTGTGTTGTACATTCTTTAATAGCAAAGAGTAATTTTGCCTGAAGAGCACAGCCCTTCCTTCATATTTGTCAAACACAACTGGATCATTATTAAAAGCACATTTAGCTACATTGTTAGTTTCATTAAATTTCCAGAAAAAATCTGTTTTTTTGTCTAGTACAACAGATTTCTCTACATCCAGATGTAAGTCCTTTCCATGCCGCACAAACACATATTGGAACCCTAAAAGAACAGAAATATAAAAAAAAAAACAGAATTAAAAAAAGAACAACAACACAAATATCAGAATTATGTGCATGAAGTCAAATGTAATTTAATGACAGAAGGTGATGTCAACTTAAGATCACTAAAATAATGTGAAATAGCATTTAATTCTGCTAAAACTATATCAGATTCACTTCTCTATATTCTCCTGCCCAATCTGAGAAGTGAAACGTGGAAAATGCCTCCAGTCAGTTGAGGTGGTGCCAAGCAAATTATATGGGCTTAATAGATAATAGATAGAAAACCTGCTCCCACTAAAAGGGATGGTTTCACTTTCACACTATTATACAGAGATGTGCTTAAATGTATTAAACTTCACAAAACATGACTATCCAGAGTTCTGAGCAGCAGGGAAAGATTTAGTCTGTTTGCTATTAGTTATTTAATGTTACTTCCACAACTGTTCTGTCACATTGTCTCTCCAAAACCTTCAGTTGTGTTTTTGGGGAACTTCCTCATTAGTTTAAATCAAACTTGTCCTGACATTTGGGATAGAAACAAAATATTTAAAATATTCCCAATTTTTATCTGATCACTTTGAAATAGTATTTAAATGTATAATAATGAACTATACAACACTGTGAGGAAAACAAATCTGTACGCGTCCATCTAAAAATACTGAAACTAAATTTAAGGAAGTGATCCCTCTTCTTTTATTTTCGTCTGCGTCATGTACCAACATAATACAGAGCAACTACCTAAACGTCATTCTCTGTCATTTATCTTACTAACAGCACAACAACCTCACTGCATATGATGATGTGTACTGCACATCCTCTGAAATAAGGATGAGACAAGGAAAATACAACTAAATTGAAGGCAAGCAAGTAACTTAATACTGGAACATCACAGGAACACTGACTTAACATACACACGGAACACAGAAAAGCAGGAAAACTGGGAATTAACTATAAGCAATAAGTGTTCTTGGGGAGACATGAACAAATTATGTCTTTTATGATTAAAACATTATGAAAGAAAAAAACACAACCTAAACAGAAATTAGCTTTATAATGCTGGGAAACAAAACATAAAATACATCTAGAAAACAAAACTCTTGACATATAATACAAAATTAAATTAAAATGTTGAACTTAAAACAAACGCACCCAGGACTGTGACAAAACCACTTTTGTAACGGTTAGCCCAAACTTCCTAGTAGCTTACAGCGCTCTGGAATTTTTTTTCAGAAATGCTCTCTCTCCATTTGATGTATTATGATGTGCCTGTCAGCTTATATAAAACATGTCAATACCTGTTTATTATTTATTTATATTACATTTACTTGACTTTCTTCCTCTCATTCCCTAATGACTTTATTTGCTGTACACATTTTACAACATTCATTAGTGCTGAGGTAACACCTAGGTTTAAAGATAAATTGAGTTCACCCAGTTGGTTCTTACCATTTACTTCACATGAACACAGCCATAAAAAAGCGCCAAAAAGCACAATCCGCTCCATCTTGACACAGCTTCACAGCTTTGGTTTGAGAAAGCAGAAACACTCCCTGCACACGTGACAGTTTGATTCCAGTCAACTGAGTCATTTGCCAGAATATACTTGTTAAGTTCCTTTTCTAATACCCTATTCTCACATCCGTCACTCGCATCTCTGGTGAAAGGGACTGAGAGGAATCAAATACGTGCAATTTCGGAAATTACAAATCAGGTTTGTGTGTTGATTTGGAGAACGATCGGATCGAGAGAGACTGAAGTTCGGTTCACCTCTCATTACATCTGAGAGAGGGTGAAAAGGCTTAAAGTGCTAAATCACTCTTTTCTTTGTGTGTTTTTGCTAGTTGTAACTTTATTCTTTATAATATATAATTGGACATAAAATTGGAAATCAGCTCACAGTTGGAAATTCCTGTCGTGGTCTGGGTGGTTTTCCACAGCATCAGCTCCTCCCCACTGGGTGGAGTCTTTATTGCTCCTCACCTGATGGCAATCGTACCAGCAGTATTTATGACCGGCGCACTCAAATGGTCTTCGCCAGATTATCTGCCAACTTTAGTCAGTTCTCGGCCTCACGTCCGTTCCTTGGTGACTAATCGTGTGTATTAACCGAATCTCTGTTTTTCTCGTCAGCCTCTGAAACCCACCTACCAAGCTCCCCTGGATACCAGTTTGCTGCCTGCCTCCCTGCATTGCATGCAGCACCCACCTGGACCTCTCCTGCCTCCCCCCTCCACGCAACCCCCACCTGCAAGCTTGTAAGACAGCTCAGTGTACTATCCTTAGATTCACTCGCAAACCTCTGTGGGATTCCCCTGACTGCTCTGTCCTCTGTTTCAGTGCCCTGGCCCGCCACAGTTTCCCCTGCCCAGTACCTGCACCCAGTTATCCCTGCCATTTAGTTATCACCACAGTATTTTTCTCTCGCCTCAGACATCTAGTTTATGTTCATTGATTCTAGTCTGCACTTTCTGTTAGCCTCTGAGCATTGTAAAATAAAGTCTCTTTTCGTTACACCTCACCCCTGGCCTCCGGTTTTGAATCTGCATTTGAGTCCATCCCATGTCCACGGGCCACTGCGCCTGACAATTCCAGCAGAGACACCAGAGGGATTGATGGCTGCCCAGAAGGTGGACTTACAAAGTGGACTTGGATTCAGCTCCATCTCTGCTCATCATCAGCATTGCCATATTGTCTTATAATTCTGAGAAGGATTTGGACTTCCATGGTTTTCTTTAGTGGATTGCAGCTCACTTTGAGAAGATTTGGGGTCCCTTTGTATTTCAGGAGGACAAGAGTTGACTACTAAACATAAAAGTGATGTTAAATCACCAACATACGCTCCTCTTCACAAAGCAGGAGTAAGCAGCCACAATGCACAGCTCACTAATTGCAGAGAAGAGTCAGCTACACAAAAAAAGGCCACACCTACTGTAAGGCAGGAAGCAGACATACAGGGTCAAAATCACAGGAACACAGTCATATATGGGATAATGAAGACAGAATCATATTTACACCCAAAAAAATTTATCATTTTAACATCAACATTGCACTATACTCGACTCAAAATCACCCAGTTATCCTCTGACATGTGTTTTTAGGTTTTACATATAGGTGTTGGCAGTAAAACTGGTATATATTATTATAAATCATAAGCTCTCCCCAATGACAATAAACTTACTAGCTGAAATAGTGAAGCAGTGCTAACAGACTCTGTTGTTACCTGTTACCTGTAACAAAGTAGTTTGTTCTTACATTGGCAGTAATAACACGGTGTCAAGCATGGCTCCGCTTTCCTGATCTAATTAACTCAGAACATAAAATATGAAACAGAGTTTTCACAAAACAAATGTACTTTCTATGAATGCAACATTAGTTCGCTTATAGTCCCTCAGATTTATGTTCTGCAACTATATCATCAGACTGAGCTCTTGATTATAGAGGCAGGGGGACTGCTAAGCATTCTGATTGGCTAGTGGTTAATCGGAACTATTGGGCCCAGTGTAAATAATGATCAACCCATGCAGGTAATACAAGAGATGATAAGATGGAGTTTTTAAGAACTATGAATGCATAAAGGCATAATAGACATGCTGGTCCAGTGTATCCATTTCACACTTTGTCTCTCCAAAGAATGACATGACATGGACACACATGCAGAACTTCCTGAGCGAACAGGAAAGGGAAATGGATTTTGAAATGAGGAGTGGAATCGCCATTTTAAAAAGCATTTAGAAAATCACTTTATTAAATTGGAATTCAAAAAAAGTTTTTGAAATGAAGTTTTTAAAAAGCATTTTTGAAAATCAGTTTATTAAACTGGAATTCAAAAAATGAATTTACAAATGCAGAATTCATTCTACAATTCATTATTTAAGCACAGAATTCTTTATTTCGATGCGTGTGACTCTTGTGGTTCTCCATAGAAACGTAAGGTCTGTAATCAGAAACACCCCACAATCTTATATATCCACTCCAAGCAGAGGGAAAGTGTTTCGGTGCAAACTAAAGGAGAAGAAGAACCACCAGATGAAGGTCCTTCGTGTGCTGTTCAAAGCAGTCTCACAAGCATCTCACTGATCACTGCTGCCGTATTGTAGATCAGCTTGTTAGTCTCGGTAAGCGTGGCTGTAGGTATCATCCATAGTGCTGCATTAACATCATCGAGTAGACCTTCTGAGGGTACTTCACGTAATCTTGGTAACCGGCTACGGGGGATCCAGGTTTCAAGCTTTCTGAAGAGATTTTAGGATCTGAGATGAATTTCTACCTGGGCATACAAGCTCTCGGGCAAAGCTTTGCTTCTGGCCTCAGTGGATCTGTTGGGTCCAGAGTGAGGTCTCACAAAGCTATAGGTGGATGTTGGAGAAGTATCACTGATTGGACTCTGTTCCATGGGTGGTGTTGTTCGGATAACCTGGAAAATAAATATTATTAATATTATTACATTAACATAAGCAGGAATTTTACTGTGATTAACAAAAGATCACCTGTATCCATGACTGCAAAAGAAAATTACAATAATTTTTTTTATCCAAATACATTTTATTCAAATGTGTTCAACACATACTTTTAAGATATTCTTAATCAACAGTGCAATGACCTGCAAGTGCACTTCAGAGGCTAAGAATAATTTACAAGAATTAGGGAGAGTCTTCAACTCAGCACTAGACTTAGCCAGACCTACACTAGCAATTTGTGGCTAAGGTAATTTGGCTCTAAAGCTAAACTCCACCATTGTGTCTTTTTCTCCCACTGTCTGTCTTCCACATAAAGGAATTACTATATCTTAGACCATGCACTATTAGCTGGGAAGATAGCTCTGGAGGACTGGAAGCACTGGATGAAGGGGGCAAGCATCAGACTGGCCACAGGAGTATATCATTCTTGCAAAATCTAATGATTAAACTCCAGGCAGGCTAGATGGTCACTGTTTTGGGGTCATTTTAATTTCGCTAACACTCTGGTTCATGAAACATTCAATCAGATGCTGTCTCAGCAGTTCTCCACCGAATCTAGTTAACCAGCTAAAGAGACCACTTTGTCACTATCTTGTGCGTTGGGAGGTTTAAAGTTTGTTTAACCAGATGTTTAATCTATTGAGCCAGAGTCCAGCTCAAGCCCATCCTAGCAAACTCTATAGGTCATTCTCAATACACTCATGGATTATCCATTGGGCCCACACTGCCAAGTTCGCCTGCCACTTGGTGGACCACTCTAGATAAGGACACCCACAAATATTTTTGCTAGAAATAAAACTGTTTCCTAACCCACCTCAGGTTAGTTACAGTCCTTGCTGACTCACATAACTTCAGACCTTGTCTCCTGCTTACTTTGATCACAAGGCAACAGCGTTATCTTCACTGTAGATTTGTATTCTGAAAAAGATCATTTCAAATCAGGTCCAAACTGAAAGACTAAATTAAGGGTTTGAAGCTGTTTTATACATGGATAGAATATGCACACAATGCTCTAACGTCTGGTGCAGCTGGTCTCTCTTCCTTTCATTCTTTACTTCCATACCAACCTTCTTTTGAAGTAACAGTTGTCTCTGTTTTCAGAAGATTTTCGTCACTCATTTTTTGTGTCACTAAGAACTTTCACCCAGGTATACTGTACCCTTCGGAACGAAGAAAATCAGCAATGCAAAAGCTTTTCTTTTAAAACTACCTGCTGCCAAAATTAATACTACATTTCATGTTCTTCCACTGAAAAACTGTCTACAGCTGCCTGGAGGAGAAGGGAAGATGTTGTAATGGTACTGCTGGGTTGGATTTGTGGCCTGTGGGGGGATTTTTTGTTGTTGTTTTTTTTGGCTGTCCTCCCTGTTTAACTTTTAAGTTTCAGATGAAATTGTTAGTTTTGCTTTGTGCTGGTGATTCACCAGTGAGGGGAGTCTTTTTTATTTTTTCCATGTTTTTCCATGCTTCCGACACCTGAATAGAACAATCAAGTGTGGGTTATTCTAAGGCTGGAGGGTGCCACAGCCTTTTTTTGGCTGTTTGTTTCAGTTAATAGTTAATAGCGTTTCTGTCCTTCCTCTAGTTGTCCAGTTAGTAACCAAACTATGACATTTGCTTGTGTCACTTGTTCTTATAACTGGATATTTGTCAATGCAATTGGCACTCTATTCTCGACGAGAAGCCTGGGTTCGGGAGAGCCCAAGTGTCCTGGAGGGACGTTCCCTGCTGGATAATCGATGGACGAGTGGCAGAAGTGGCACATCGTGTGCCTGGTTGGACTGTCTATTGAGGACATTGAAGACATCTACCTGTTCGGAACCATGATAACGGGGTTCTTGCTGATCGGAGCTGGCTTGGCCCTGGCTTATCGGAAATTGAAGAAAGCGGTGAATGCCTTTCAAAACCCCACAAGGCTGGCCGCTATTATCGAAAATGTGGGAAGAGCTGTGAGTACTCAGACTGTTCTTACTGAACGCAATATGGGAAAGATCTTGGAGGAGCTCACGGTTCTAAAACAGATGATACAACAGGAGACCAGTAATGGACATTAAGAACAACTGTAAAATTGATACAGTTTGTTCATCCCAAAACAACATTTACAACACCCCCACCCCGACGGCACCAGCTGGACAATGCTTGAAGGTTGATGCCGAGGAGAACAACAACAATTCTTCCCAGAGATACAATACCAAGAATGAACTGACTCTCTTGCCCTATTCCACAAGGCCACCTGCGTAGGCTGCGGACTGTTGATTTTCACCTAATAGTCGAAAGGACACTCTCTCAGGCTGAACACAGGATACACATCCCCACACAGACGCACACACGTACACTGATACTGATACGCCCTCACCCAACGCCTCCCATGCTTTCCTCCCATCCGATGTGGACATCGGCTCAGCCGGAGGCGCAATCGCGAGATTGCAGCGTCCCAGATGCAACTGTTCACACTGGAATATTTTCCCATGTACCTTGTCTGTGATTTATTGTGTTATGGTGTCATGATATCTGTGTTTTCTTTGTGTGTTATGGAGTTTTTGTTTTTTTTCCTCATGCTGACTCCCTTTTGGGGACCAGTATGAGCGGAATTTCTTTTTTTCAATAAAAGACTATAAGCACAGGCAAACTAATTCAGTAATCTGATAACACATTAACTATATAAAGAAAGGCATTTTAGATTAAATGGTTTACTTTCCAGACTGAACCCTCTGGTTAAATGAAGCACGGAACATCAAAAGATTCAGCAGAGCGACTGAGTTCAAAGCACCTGAGCAAAAACACATAGTGTGACCAGTAACACAAATATGTGTCAGTTAGAGGCTGTTTGCTTCTACCTAAGTCAAATCTCATTTACCACACTTACCTCAGGAACTGCATACACTGTGTTTTCAATGGTTTCCCTGGTATCTGGTGGTCAGACATGAATAAATAAATATGTAGTGATTTGCTTTAACTTATATTTTTCTTTGCAGGCTTTAACTGACGATTTCTATTATTCTGCATTCCTAAGTCATTTCAGCTGATGTTACATTAAATCCAAATTTTATCAAAATAATTGAATTCTCACACATAAACTAGACCTGGCATGGCACTCCAACCTGATATCACGGCAGAGCATGTAATAGACACACCAGTCCACTGCGTCCATTTCAAGCTTTGCCTTTCCAAAGTGTAAAAAAGACACACATGCAGAAGTTTCATTACTGTATGCGAACGCTGCAGTACCAGCAGAATAAGATAAAATATTTAAAGCAACAAAGTCAGTAGTGAGGAAAAAGGTATGATGAAGTACATTCCAGGGTTCTTAATATATGTATACACGTGTAAATGTATTAATAATGTCCATTTAAATGCTTTCAGATAATTATTTTCATGTTGGCTTGAAATAAAATATCTCCCTCTGCTGTTGTTGCAATTTCTACATGCATGTAGATTTCACATTTCAGCAAGGCAAAGCGTGGAATGGACACAGTGGTCACTCATAGTTGGGATCAGTAAAGTATGTTGGCAAAAAGTTTCAGTTTCAGTTTCAATTTTATTTCTATAGCACATTTAAAAGTCTCAGGTACATCAAAGTGCTTCACAGAAAAGCCACATTTGCGGGGTTAATAATAACAAGCAATGGATTTTGCAACAACAAGTATTTTGACGATATTTTATTTATTTACTTTTGCAATATCTTGATAAATACTTGCTTGGACTTACTTTTATGTTTCGTTCGATGATGAATATAACCTATAACAAGGATAATGATGATGGCAGCAACAACAACACACACAGTCACAGTGGTATTGTTGGCATCTATGTGGCCTGTAAAGGAAAAACAAAACTGATTACAAAGGCACTGTACAATTCTAAGTTGATATTATTAATACAAAAAATAATAATAATAGATATTTATGGCAGGGTTTTTTTTTTTTGCTAGAGTAGAAAACTCAATCTTCAAATATTTTTATTTTTAGAGTTTGTATTTCACTAAAGTTCTGTTGCATGACATCTTTAAAAGGATATCTTTTAAATTTTCATTCATTATTTCTTTGGCATCTAATCTTACCTGACTTCGTGTCACATTGAGATTTTAGCACCATCATGCTATTTTTCCAGCTTACTTCATTGCTATGATTACAAAAGACAGTATCTTGCTGCAGGTAAACAATCAGAGAGGAAAGCATGTCTGTGGTGCTGGGATTTTCTTCCAACAGAGAGCAGTTGTGAGCATCACATCTAAAAGTACGGCTGATGTTCAGGTCCACTATAGTGCAGGTTACAGTCAGGTTACAGGAGTCTGAGCTGCTGGAGGTCAATGTCAGATTAACTGGAGACACTGGATCTGGGAATTAAAAGCAGGTGTGAATATAATTAACACAGATATATGCTGTGTCAATATTTGAAATGAAAATGACAAAAATAAACCTACCTTGGACTATGACCTTGATTTCACCTACCCTTTGCTCTTTTCCCCCAGTCACTACTGCAGTATAATCTCCACTGTCATTGTGTTTTACATTTTTCAATACCAAAGAGTAATTTTGGCCAAAAAAATCAGCTCTTACTTCATAGCTGTCAAACAATACTGACTCTTTATTATAACTGATTTTACCAACATAATTATTGGTATTAAACTTCCAGAAAAAGTCAGTCTTTTTGTCAAGTTTAACAGGTTTCTCTACATCCAAGTGTAAGTCCTTTCCGTGCAGTACAAACACATGTTGGAGCCCTAAAAGAAAAGAAACCAAAAAGTATCAGAATCATGAACATTCAGCTCCAATTCTGTTAAACCAAACACAACAGTAATACAAAAAAGACCTGACACAAATATTGTTGCAGTGTTGTGGATATTTATTTTGTAGTACTTTTTTCACCAGAGCTTTTCTGCTCTTTGCACACCTCACAAAGCACTTTGGTCAGGTTTTGGTAATCTACTCACACAGGGGCAGGCATGATTGAACGATGGAGACCAGCTGTGTTGGTCAACCTCTCCTGACACCACCCACTGCTCCACCCTATCATTTGATTATTTTCATTATTGTCTATTCACATGGGCATAGAAAAAAGTGCTGGTGTGAATGGGTAAATGAGGCAAGTTGTGTAAAGCACTTTGAGTTCTCAGAGTAGAAAAGTGCTATATAAGAACCAGTCCATTTACATCTAACTGCTTGCTGTCTGTGGCACCCACCAAACATTATGGGTTTCACACATCAGATAATCAGTATCAGAATCAGAATACTTTAATCATCCCTAAGGAAATTATGTTTGTGGAAAACCCAAACTTTTATGAGATACAGCTTCAATCTCACTTCAGACAGTGCAACTCTCATGTCTCGAGATATGACCAAATATATTAAACCAATCAAAACATGACCAGGGTTTGGACCAGTAAGCAGAGTCTCACACATCTCTCTGCAGCTTATCTCCTACTGTTATACACTTAAAATTCCCATCACCACAGAGACTCTGTGTGTTGGGATTTTAAGGGTATATTTTAGTGGTGGGTTTTGATAATCGATTTATCGATTAAAATCGATTCTGGCTTGGATAACGTGATATCGATTCATTAAAATCCTGAATGGATTTTTTTGAGATTAATTTATTTTGCCCAAAACACCAGAATCTCAGGTTAAACCTCACAAAATTTCAAGAACCACCAAACAGCTAAAACAGTAAATGAGAGCAGGTACACAGATTCTGCACAACGATGTAAACACAAAGCTCGGACCTGCCGACGGAACAGAATCAGTGAGATGTCGCCTATCTCACCCGACGGCACTGACACGGTCGGGGCTGAAAGCCGACAGCTCGCTGATTCCGATGTTTCAGCGGGTCCGAGCTTTGTGTTTACGCCCTTTTTGCGCTGATTCTAAAGCTGTTAGTTTTATCTCTCTCCAAACAATATTGACCGAACCAGCAGCAAAAGAAGATCCAAACTACGCTTCACATAAACATCGTCATGGACTCCCTCTTACTTTGCTGTTTTGCTTCCACCACACTTCATACACAGCTCTCTCTGTATACTCCAAGAACAGTTTCCCGTCTAAAAATCTGTTTTCTTATTATTATTATTTCCTATTATTCGCTTGCTTGTTACGCACAAGTCTACCGTTGTTACCGCTGTTTTTTTCCCTTTTACTTCCAAAAAGAAAGCCTAATTTCTGCTGTTCAATAGGTTACTGAACAAATGTAAACTTTTTAAAATTATGCAAAATGCAAAACGCTTAGCTGTGTCTGTAATAAAACCGCTGTAACTTCAGAGGTAATGTTCATATGTTGATTAATGGTTTTCTTTCGTTTTTGATGTACTGCAGAATATTTTTATAAAATCCCAGGCCAGGAAAACCTTCATGTTTTTCTGTGTTTTATCTTTAGCTACTTTGACACTAAGGCCTATGCTGTGATGTTTACACCTTTGATAAAGTCTTGCGAGTGTCAGCTTCCTTTTTATAGATACAAAAATATGTAAATGTACTGATCTGAATTATAATATTTCTGACTGTCTAAGGCAAAATTTCCCAGATTTAAATCGAATCGAATCGAATTGAATCGAATCCTGGATCAAATCGATTCGGGACCTTGTGAATCGGAATCGAATCGATTCTAGAAATCAGTGATGATACCCAGCCCTAGCATATTTCTCGGTGATTCCAGATCAGAAATAAGGCAAATAATAAAAAAGTTACCCTTAAAATTAAAAAAAATATATAGTTTATTTGTTTAAACTGCACCAAAAAATGGCCCTGTATTTGTATAGCGTTTTACTAGTCCCTAAGGAACCCAAAGCGCTTTACACAACCAGTCATCCACCCATTCACACACTGGTGATGGCAAGCTACATTGTAGCTACAGCCACCCTGGGGCGCACTGAGACCACCACCAGTAGGCAACGGGTGAACGACAGAGACTGCTCGAAACCGGCAACCTTCCGATTACAAGGCGAACTCCCAACTCTTGAGCCACGATCGCCCCGTTATATATGGGCTAATGGGCTCTTCAATGTCTTCTTAGTAAATAACAGCGGCAAAGGAGTTCCAACAATCTTTCACTCTATTTTATATATCAACCAAAGACCAGGTCAGTTAGGGTTACTTTGAAAGTTGCACTCTTGGCCTCCCATGCACTAAAAAAAATTTGTTATATTTTTTTTTTTGTGCAGGATACTGTGGCTCCTATGAAGATTAAATCAACATCCTAGGGAGGATTCACTCCTCAGCAGGGCTCTAGAGTGCGACGCAACCTAAATTCTCAATGGTGCAACTAAAAAAATCTGACGTCGCATCGGTGCTACCAGCTGTTCGAGTAAAAAACTAAAGTCTTCATAACTCTGAAAGTCTCCATGTGGTCAACAACAGATACACAACATGCCCATATCATGGTCAAACCAATCAGAGATAGTCAAGGGCAGGACCTCTCTGATTGGCCATGGTACAGATATTCCTTTATTCCTTTAGGCCTACGTGTGTGTACTTTCAAAAGTGCTGGCGGACAGAGTAGCCTAGTATCCAGAAAACACACTATATACCAGGATAAATACATTGCCCAAATGTCCCCAAGTCTGAAATAATTCTTCACAAGAAAAATGGCTTAAACGTAAACCCCACATACATTTATTGGTGTCATCACAGACACATTGGGGGAAAAAAGGTGTGTGTGTGGAGGGGGGGGTTGGCCATCTGAGGGGCATGTGACTGCAATGGAGGATCATTCATAAAATATCCAACTGTTCAGATATTAAGATGTTCAGTTTTAAGCCTTTGAGACACTTTGAGGTCCTTTTAATTTAGATTTACTTTTTATTTAATATATCTTGAGATGTTTTAAGTTTAAATTTCAGCTCGGTGAAACACTTGAAGCACAAGCACTTTTTCAGTAACTTATCTTTCTTGTAGAACTGTGCTCCAAATAAAGAACTTTGTGTTGACAAGATTGATAGTTAACCATTTATAAATCAATATTGTCTGTATGGACAGCAATTTAAAAAAAAAAAAAAAAGGTGAACATGTAAAACTGTGGTGTTCTGCAATGCGTTTGAAATATTTGGGCGCACCTAAGAAAAAAAGTTAAGCGCACTAATGCAACCGAGGCAAAATGTTAGTCTAGAGCCCTGCTCAATGAAATTTACAAACGAGCACCTAAAAAGCAGACCTCTGAAATTACAAAGTACAAATACTTTGTTACATTGTTAGTTCGTACTAGAAAGAAAGTACAAATACTTTGTTACTGTGTTAAGTAGACTTCTTAGGTATCTTTACTTTATTTCAGTATTTACTTTCATGATAGCTTTTTGCTTTTGCTCCATCCATACATTTTAAGAGAAATAGCTTATATTTTAAAAACAGGCTATTATTTTTTTTTACTTTAGGTTTAAAGCACCCGAGGGAGGTTTTTATTTACCAGCATACATGCCTTTAAAAATTAAACTGATTGGAGCATGAATGATGGGCACATAAATTGTAGGATATTAACAAGTTTAAATATTAGTATAAAAACTAGCTATTTACCTTTTGTTTCAGATGAATACATCCACAAAATTGCGCCCCAAAATAAAATGCAACCCATCTTGATATGTGCCTTCAAAATTCTGGTAAAGCTTTCAAAGTTCTTGTAAAGCTTGACTCAGGAAGTTTGAACATCCTGTTTTGTTTTACACTTTCTGTGTAGGTTTTTTCTCTGACTCGTTCACGCTTCTCAACTGATCTATCGCAACTGATGGTCCCATTTACCCTCCATCTTCGAAAAAGACAGTTTTAAAGTTCCATAATTCATATAAATTTACTATAAATTTCTGAGCTTTGCTGAGAAATTGACAGTTTCTGTCAACAGAAATTACAAAACTGAAAACACAAACATTAAATTTTTAGTAACAGCTTAATGCAGTGACTGAAACTGAAAACTTTATATTAAATGTCTGTGAAGGTTCTCAGTCATCCAGGTCATCGTAGTCAAAGGAGCTTGCAAAGAAAAGCGTCTGGACTTCTTTAAGTTACTTGAAGACGTTTCACCTCTCATCCGAGAAGCTTCTTCAGTTTAAACGTAAATGTAGAGTCTATCATACATCATCACATCTAAAAGTACCAGAGTATTCAAATGTACAAATTTGCTCTGTATTGTAAATTGACTTGTGTGGTGGTGATGTGCATGCTTTAGTGTGTGTGTTATTTATGGGTTTGAGAAACACTGATGCGTGAGTTTGAGTGGGAGGTGTCTGTGTTCAGCAGTGATGCTTGAGGAGAAAAAAACAGTTCCTGAGTGTAGGGCTGCTCGATTATGGCAAAAATGATAATCACGATTATTTTCACTGAAATTGAGATCTCGATTATTTGACGATATTTATTTAACCCTTTAAGACCTACTATAGAACCAAGTCCGCCAGAGCTTATATTATTTTTTTACATGTTGTAGTGCCATTTGTGGGAGCATTTCAAGTTGCTATACAACTGTTATAGCCCATATTTTAATAATATGTATGCATTAAGTCCATAGTAACTACATTAATTGCAAAAAAGTGCAATAAACTACAAAAAAATTGAAAATCGTTTTTGTTTTTTTTACATATATTTCTACTTGGAGAAATTTAAGAGGTTTATCCCTCAAAACTTTAAATACAAAAAAGTTGCAAAAAATAGTTTACAACAACAGGAAATTTATTTTGAGTGTCTTCATAGTTTTATTTTGGAGATACACCAATTTTTATATACTGCAGGAAAAACGAAAAAACAATCCTATGATGCAAATTTGCAAAGAAAACAGCATGTGCATCAAAATAAACTATTTCCAGCAGTGCAATTCGAGTTCTAAGCATCCCAGAAACTATTCAGAAAAGTCAAACATGACCAGTATAGGCTTTTAAGGCCTACAAGTAAAACTACATTTTCCGCGAAAATGACGTCACTTCCGGTTTCGGGCAGGAAATGGCGGACATGCGATAGTTCGCGCTGACTCTGTTTCACTGTGGGAAGTGTTACGAACAGCTGATCGGATCGGCAAAGCGTGTTTCTGGAATATTATGTTTTTGTTCCTGCAAGCGCTTTTTATGCAATTTTTGCAAAGCTATATGTGGAAGGAAACCGTGACCGAGGACAAGCTGATGGCATAAGATGTAAGTACAACTCCTCCGGTTTCATATGCAAAACAAATTATTGCGCTAGCTTACACGGTTCAGGTTCTACAGGGATTTAAAAATAGTTACACAAAACGGAGCGTGCTGCTCTGACCGGCTTTAAAGGGTTAACAATCAGAGTAATGCTTTAAAAAATAATATAAAATAGTGTGCAACACCACTGAAGTTTTTTTTTACCTCTCTTTTCAACCAACGCAGTCACTCTCCTCTCCAAATAACTTCTGCTTAGCTTTCCGAGCTTCCCTCGGGTCCTCTTAATCAGCGGTCTCCAACCTTTTTTGCGCCACGGACCGGTTTATGCCCGACAATATTTTCACGGACCGGCCTTTAAGGTGTCGCGGATAAATGAGGGAGGGGCTAATAATCGGCTCAGTCATTTTTAATGATCGTTGAAAGCCCAGATCGTAATCGTGATTAAAATTCGATTAATTGAGCAGCCCTACCTGAGTGTGTTGGTGCTGATTTGGATAGACTGCAGTGCCTCCTAGAGGGCAGTAGGTGAAACAGGTGAGATGTAGAATGGCTGAAGTCTTTTGTAACAACAGTTAATGATCTGCTGCATTTTGTTGACCACTTTTTGGAGCCTCTTATGCAGTATGTAAGTATCCTCTCAATGGCTGAGCAGTGGAGGTTCACCAGTACAACTCTGCCTCCTGACATCTGACCCACGTTAACACATGGACTGAACATACACACACCCACAATGGACAACTGTACCCTCAAACACACAATAATAACATGGACTGAACCACCACTCACAACCACTAGCACTTTATATAGCCTCTGTAGAAACTTATCTACACCCTCACTTATCTTAACTGCACTACTGTATAGCTCTGTGTAAATAATCATTCTGTACATTCTGATAATTTTAATCCTACAACTGTTTACAACTTGCATAGTTCCCATTTCTGTATAGCTGTATATCTCAGATTTCTGTAAAGTTATTTATTTCATATTCTGTATAGTTTTTCATATTTATATCCTGTTCATAGCCTGTACATAGCTTGTACTCACTACAGCCTGTACATACTTATAGTTATAGAATATTCACAACATACTTCATACCGTGTACATTATAACATACCATAATAGACCCATTTCTGTAATATACTTACATATCTATATATTGCTAATATATATTGTAATATATCTATATCACTAAAGCACTTCTGGATGGATGCAAACTGCATTTCGTTGCCCTGTACCTGTGCATGTGCAATGACAATAAAGTTGAATTCTATTCTATTCTATTCTAGTTGGGAACTGAAGAAAATGTAGTGATTTGGATTCCATTAATGATATCACTGAGGAAATGAGATTCTTGGTCATTCCACGCCCTATCTGAGATCACCCATCGCTAAACAGCATAAAGACATTACAGTAGTGCTTATGAATTGCATCCTCCGTGGTAAAATGGTTGTGCATGTTGGAGGTATGTCTCCTCTTTCCTGTGATCAGTTTGGGGTTGTTACTCAAGAAATACATCATAATATTAAAAAAATATTAAAAAAAATGACTTCAAAAAAAAAAAAAAAAAAAAAAAAAAAAAAAAAAAAAAAAAAAAAAAAAAGAATTAACACTATTATTTCTCTCAGAGAAATTTTTCTACATAAAATGACCAGAAATTAAACATGTCCCATTTAACCATACACACTTCAGGCTACAGTCCCACTCACCAATTTAAATCCCTATCCTGAGGTTCTCATCATCCTCTATGTGCACAGCCTAGATACAGCAAACTATGATCTCTTGTATCCTCCCTGCTGAACTTTATGTTTTTAGTCCACTGAGTTGATGTGAACAGTAAGGCTTCTATCTTGGGTTTTGATTTTGACCCATGTGTAATCCAAGTATCTGTACCAGTGGCTGGGTGCTTTCCCTTTGAAAGTGCCAAGAGCTCTTACTTTCCACTTCCTCCATGTAGAGGTTGGCTGCAATGGGTGACACTGATGAGCCCATGGCACATTCATGTTTTTGTCTATAGAAACCCTCGTTGTATAGAGTTGGTTCTGTTTTGTAAGTACCTAAAGGGACAAGCCCCACTAGGGTTTATCTACCTGGGACTTTTTATCTGGTTTTGAAGCTGAAGAAGATAAGAGGTGAAACACCTTCATGAAACTGAAAGAAATCCAGTTGGTTTCTTTCCTTAGTTTACGTTAGGGCTGTGGCTACCTTTACTGTGTGATGTGCAAACCATGTATGTGCGGTCAGTGCCTTTTAAATCATTTTTCATTAAGTTATCTTACAAATAATATGGTTTTATTTATACTCACAGAGGTGAGTATAAATAAAACCAAACCATTTTGGTGAGTGAAATTCTAGTATTTCTTAGTCTATTGACACTGATCTAAGCTACTGGATGTATGTCAGCACTTTGCAACCACATAGATTATGAATGCAGGTTTCTAGCCAAGCTTGTTTTTAGAGCAAAGGTGGGCAATTAATTTTCTCAGGGGACCACATGAGAAACTGGGACTGCTGTGGAAACCTTTAGCAAAAAGCTGGACTCACTTTGGCTCTGTATTAATTTTCTTTTTTCAGCTGCTACTGATAAGAGTAGATATGACAATTAGACAATGAAAATGCAAAATGTGTACAGTGAAAACACCAATACTTTATCACTTAAGTGTGACGAAGTGGTCAAAGGGGTTATAAAAATAAATAAATAAATAAGACAACGACACCTAGGGGAAAATTCACCCCTAAAGAAATCCTAAAGTCTTTTTAGAAACCAGAAAAGCTTACACAGGTTCAAAGATGCACAACTGAGTAAGGCTGGGTATCGTCACTGATTTCTTTCAATTCCAGTTCACAAGGTCCCGAATCGATTCGATCCACGATTCGATATGATTCGATTTGAATCGGTTTTGCCTAGGACAGTCAGAAATATTATAATTCTGATCACGTATCAGTTACATATCCATATTTTAATCTATAAAAAGAAAGCTGACATTGTGAGACTTTATCAGAAGTGTAAGCATCACAGCAGATGCCTTTAGTGTCAAAGTAACTGAGGATAAAACACAGAAAAACAGAAGGTGATTTTCCTGCCTGGGATTTTATAGCAGATGACCTTAAAATATTCTGCAGTAGATCAAAAATGAAAGAAAACCATTAATTAACATATGAACATTACCTGATGCTGCTGAAGTGAAGCAGAGCAAAGTTACAGAGGTTATTAGCAGCTACCTTTCTTCACAATGGCTGGAATCAAAATTAATCGGACATTCTACAAACAGGATGAAAAACTTGTCTCTAATAATCAGCTATTTACTATAGCTACAGCTATTCAGAGATTCATTATAACGCAAGAAATGGCACCAGTGAACGATCGTTTGGCCTCGGTGTTTATCCTGTTAGACCTCAGCATAACACTGCTGATCACAACATCTTACTACAGACGTGCAAATATAGGAATAGGTATTGTTGCGTATATATGAAACACTGGATTTATTTTCATTGGTATGAAGATGATACCCGTTTATTTTTAATCAATGAAAGCAAATCATACCAACTAATTAAACTACAGGCTA